TCAAAGATGCTTTCTGCAGATACATTTATTTAGATATAGGGAAATGGATTAAACCGTTATCAATCTGTTCTCATCCAACTTCTAAATACTCTTATGATCCTATATTAAATCTATTTTACAGTTATTTCTACTTTTTAACGATAATAAACTTCGTTGTTAAATTTTGTATCTGTCGACCTTGCAGCCTAATTTTGAAAAGACCCAAATGAAGCCGTGATTCTAATTATTACTGCAAATGCTAATTGCCCAATATTTAACTAACAACTTCTGATAATTCAAACTCGAGTTTATACCCAACGGATTACTATTACGAATGATTGTAAGAAGCCAAGGAACAACTTTTTCACATAACTCATACAAGGAGATCATAGTTAGCCCTGGAATATCGTATAAATTGACAGGTGCTGCCGGCATATTGTTACACAGAAATGGAAAGTGCACAATGGAATAACTCAAATTATCTGTTCTGTCGTAAAGTTTAATTCCAAAAAGACCCTCTTTTTGTAAGTCATCATGTAAAGCAGACTTAACTGTATCTGTTGTACCATTTATTTCAAGTTCATTTGGATAGATGCAGTTTATATTATCACAACACTTTGAATTATTCAGCAAAAGGACGTCGTCTATACAGCGGAACGTAATAATACCGATCAATGCCACCTTCTTTTATAAAATCTCCTGTTTAAACTCTGCCTCATAAGAAAAACGGGACAAGTCGGTAATCAGATGACACGTTTGGATAGCCATCCATCATCCATCATTATCAAATGGTTTCTACTGTGATCAGAGACCCTTATTCCAACGTCATCACAAACACAATTGGACACACCAGGAAATGAACGTTCAATATTGCGCTAACAGATACCTGTATCGACTTCTATTAAGGGGGAAAAATGTCTGACTGGCAAGAGGATATGAGCTGCTCCGGGGATTGTGTATGCTAATTTTGTTTTTTTATTTAAATCTTATTTTGGCTCCATTGCTTTTTTATGTAAAATATAAAAAAGCTTCCTTTAATCATTTTTACTGCGTTCATAATATGAATTAAAATTTGATCTGTAATACGGATTTTCATTTATATTTCAGAAATGGTTATATAATAATGTCAAACAGTGAAACTTCTAAAATTTTCAAATTGGGAATTTTTCATTTGCTTTTCGTTACAAAGGTAAAGTTAAAAAAAAGTTCGACAATGAATAATTGTTAAATTACCTCCCCATTTAAATCTATCCCCCTAAAAAGAAAGATTGCAACGTAAATATTCCTCAATTTTCAACAAATAAAATGAAACAAATTCTTAAGGCTGAGCTTTTTAATTCATTTTTCTATATTTTGAAATCAGACTGGTAATGATTTGTGAAAAAATACATATCACCTATTTTTATTATATTCTCTAAAATTGAGTTGTTACATTTATGAACAAAAATAAATTCTCATTTTTAATATTTCTCGTATTTTTCCTGAGAAGATCATGTATGAATTCTTCCTCCACGAATATAGAAGCAAGTATCATTTCACTCGAATGTAACGGTCAAAAGTTCCTGCTCCGGTTGTGACACCTGCAGTGTTACTCCTGATAAAATACCTTGATAAATCGATCAGGTTTAACACAATTGCCGATTGGTGATTATCTTTTACTTAGCCCTAAGACAAATCAATTAACCTTCGGTCACCTGGATTCTATTACCCTAAACTTGATAGAATGAGGAAGTTGAAAAGAAAATAGGATTTTCAAACACAACGGAGGATAGACAAAACAATTCTCCAATAGAAACAACGTTGTCATCTGTGACACAGGAATTCCATAACGGTCAACCAAATCAGGATGGCGTTCATAAATCTTTCAAATGGATGACTTCAACTTTATCAATTTGAACCCATGGTACATTAGCTTCCTTGTAAGCAGTTTATCAAAGAAATCATACATGGATTTTTATAGTCATACAGACGTCCATTTTGCTTGTTTTACCCCTAAGTGTTTTGACTCACTTGTTTGGTAGGTGACAATTAAAAAAAAGACACCGTTAGCTTATCAAAGTGTAATTACATCATGAACAGATTATAATAAGCCGTGTTTGTTTCATTGAAGAAGATTACGCGGGACAAAAGGCGGGTATCAAAATAGATAAAACATCACAATTACCCTTAGTACTTATGGTTTATTCTTTGCATTAAACTTTTTGTGATGTTTTCCATTTATATCGGATATTAATTAATCATTTTTCGATTTGACAGTGCTTTCACATCATCGTATTATTACTTTGAGAGTCAGAATACTAAGTGAGGCGCAGGTGCTCCGTAGCTGGTGTACACAACATATGTGATGTTTTTTTTATGTCACGCCGCCAATTAAACCAATCAGCACCGGAAACACAAGTAAAAGTAGTCCTAATCTGACAAAACACAGTGCCTTTGATCATGTTGATGCTTTTGTTTACTTAAACTAACCAGTTTATTTGCATAAATGAAACTTTTACTGAAAGGTTCAAATACATTTCCTCATTTTATATATGAAACATCAAATTGATTTTGGGTATCTTATTATGACGCATTAGTGCTTTATACCTCCGATATTTTTCTAGATTTATACCGAGTACTTAGTTTTCCCTATCACCAACTTGAACACTGAAAAAAAAACAACTTTCAAAACTAGAACACTTTCAACAATAAGGTACAATACAGTGTGTATATGCTTACACTAGAATGAATAGTATTGCAGAAGTTGACAAACGTGGAGATATCATATATGTGTTCAATGAAAGTCCCAGTATTTGAAAAGGAGATGTGGGGTACACATCAGTGAGACAGCAACCAAATGACAGAAATAAATAAAAAGACATGTAGAGAGCAACATACAATTTTCAACAACCGACAGGTGTCTGTACCATATGTCAAGCTCTAAATCGTCACGAGTCCATAAAAGTTTTGAATACATTTAACGGAAACAAAGATTTTCCATCAGCACCCAACTCTTCTAATAAAGAAATAAAACATTTAGATATGACATACAACAACTACTGACGAGCGTCTCCTCTTGGGACAGGAACATACAAATGGCGGCGTTCAACTAGGTTTTTATCTATTGCTAATCATCCCCTTTATAAATCTCGGACAGTATAGATTAACAAAACGTAAATAAAAGAGTACCAGACAGCAATCCAATACAGGAAATCACAAACATGACAAAATAGCTCAATTGTCTCCCCTTATTTCAGTCTAGTTATCGGATTGATAATTAACGGGATCACATGAAACCAACATTTGAAACCAGACAGCACTTACCTGGTAATCATAGACTTCGATTTATAGCATTCCAAATTAGAATCTGCATACGAATGATTGAATGATGTGAGCAACGTTCATACGCCATTTTCAGCGTTCAGTCGGAACACAAAAAGGGGAGAAGATAATAAAATATACATGTACGTAAAAAAAACAGGACAACATAATGTTAACAGAGTGTTTGGTTCTCGTACTGTGTGGAGGCAGTTCAAAATTTCTCCGTGCTTATGGCGTATGTTTTATTCTTGAGATACCTCCCTTTATATTTATTGCTGTTCCAGGTTACCGGAAAGTTTAAATGCCCAGAAATTATGTAAGACCACGCTAAATTTTTTATGAAATTGATTTGCCTGTCTGAAGTCACGAGCCTGTAATTCAGTGCTTTTCGTTGAATGCTTCTTGCAATATTTTTGGGGTGTTAATTGTTTGAGCATAAATCAGGTTTTCTTATATTTTTTAATTGGTTAACATCTGTTCATGACAGGATTTTTTCTCATTATTGAATGCATACTCACTCCGTAGAGGGTTCAAGTTGTCTTTGAATAATATTTTTCTTCAAAATTATCAAATGATACAAAGACATTGTCTATAGACGGTCCGAGTTATGTTTTTTTTTTTAAACGATCCGAGTTATCTTGGGACCGAGTTTGGGACCGAGCTGTCTCAAACTCGGTTCAGACTTATTCTGTTTTAAAGTTTAAGAAAAGTACCAACAAGGAGTGCAAGATACATAACTTTTTTTCCGGAAAAGCCTCAAAAGATTATGAAATATGTTGAATTTTGTTACGTTATTTCATTCGCATGAGCAAATAGTCCGATACAAATAGAAAGAATTGTGGTTAATTTAATAATTTTTTTAAGATTACTGTCAAAATATATCCATGTAGTAGTATCTAGAAAGTGTTATCGTTTTCCGAGATAATTACTTGACAAGCAACGAAACTGGTACGGTAAAAGATAATTCGAGCGCTCCTTTCGCTTCAGTAGACATGAAACTGATGTGCGTTTGCACACTACGTTTCAAATTTTAAATGGTGGTTGATGCAGCTTGCTTTAGTGGTCGTCCTATCGACAATGGCTGGTTTACTATTTGGTAGATTTAAAGAGATATATTGAAGACACAGGATCTTGTGCAATGCCAAGAAATGATTTTCGACAGGATATCGGCCAATAAGTGCTCATGAATATTAAGATACATGTAGGTTTTAATTTATTGAAAATAAAATCAATGATAGTAAGTATAACTATTGCTTCTAATATAACATAAAATCGATAATTCCTTACCTAAAACTACGACGTACCTCCTATCAAACATTTATTCTTTTACATCATAATTGGATAAAATTTACTTTTTCTAAAATCTTTTAATACAGTTATTAAAAATGAGAGTTCTGACATTTTGTCATAATATATTTGTTTCATCCAAGATAAAAGGACATGTGTGGTTAACTTTAATGCCACAGAAACTTAACAACACCAAAAACAAAACCAAATAGACATATCTATAAATTCGATCATCAACAGTAGACTGCAGACTATGTCAAGCATTCAATCAGCCACAATCTAGAAAAAGGAGTTATAATTTAACAGAAAATATTAATTGAAAAATCTGCAATCATCACCAAATTTCCGAATTTGACAAAAACACATTGAAGTGACAAAAGACTAAACACTAACGAGGTTTATTACTCGGGCTAGACACAATAATAATATTTTGTATTTATGTAACTTTTAATATAACATAAAATGCATAATATCGTTATGTAAATCTTATAATGATGCATTTTCCATTTGGTAATAGTGGTACACATTTGAATTAAGTTTAAAAGCTCAATATTATAAATATTTGACTCAGACATAAAAAGTTATATAGGAATCGAATTCACGTACATGAAGAGTAACTCTTGTTCGATTGTTTTTTAATAGAAATGCAACTTAGATAAATCAAGCATCCCCATTTTATTACAAACAATGTAGATTTAGAAAAATATCCCTATATTTCCATTAGAGATAGACCATGGATTTTTTAACTTTGTAATATCCCCAATTCTGTACTACTAGATTTGCTAAGAATTGCTCATAGATTGAGTTCAAACCATTTAATCATAGTAATAAGATCATTTTCATAACAATTATTTAACAGCAAACAATACATGAGAAATAGTGGAGATACAACACTATGAAAATATTTTTCTCTGAACTAATTAGATAAATAAGCTATTATAATCCAATGGGAGCATGGAGTTAGAACAGTATAGTTCTGACAAAAACTCGTAAAGAGTAGAAATCTCGTATTATAGTTGTATAGGGAGATAGACTATTGCACGTGGATCTCAAATATATAGCTATCGCCATTTTTATCTAAAGTGGAACGATATATTTACTCTTTGTGAAATACAGCAGCTTTTTTATAAAATTTAAGGTTATAAACCTCAGTTATCCTTCTTCTAAAATAAAACAAAGGAAGCAACAACACACGCACACACAAGTGATCTTTGTTCTTTGATTAAAAATCATCACATCGCTGATTAACATTCCCAATATACCTTTTCTGAGACTACAATATCTGTCCCTACGTCATTTCCAAATATTTTGCATTGCTCTAAATTTCTGTTAAAGATGAAAAAGGCACATCCATGTGTCATCTTACAAATGACAGCACATTCTATCCTGCTCTCGCTCCCAACCGATGATAGGATGTTCACGGTGTTGCACGATTTTTTCTGACCACAAAATCTGCCATTACCTGGAATCATATCTGTAACCAAAAAGAGTACTTTTTTAAACCTGCAGTGATGTAGAGATTTGCTCTATGTTAACATTAACTTTGAGATGGATAACAGCAATAAAAGCGCTATTCATTTGCTCTTACGTTTTTCATGTGCGTATAGTATTTTTTGTCATAAATTGATATACCATATCCTGTCTTTTCCATAAAAAGTTAAGTTAGGTGTGCAATATCGAGAAATATGTTTATATAAAAAATAAAAGTAGACACATGATATTTTGAAATATGAACTGAAGTTTATCAAGGTCAAGATATCAATATAGTAATTGACCTTGGTCTTCTTAGTAATCAGAACCCGGTTGTTCAAAAGTGTTGTTAGGGTAACAACTAGTCAAGCTGTTGTAAGCTAATTCTTGTTAAATTATGTTGTTCCAAAAAAAAATTACAACTAAGTTAACTAGCAACTCGTTTAGAACTTTTTCAACTGTTTTTAACATTTTTCCGTAATTCCATGTTGAAAATTAAATTTTACCCAACATTCCTCCACTTCCTGTTTGAAAAATTCCTGAATAACAACCCCCAACAAACTATCAAAGATAAGAGGGCAGAATTTTTCAAACATTGATTTACACAGAAGTGAACCTAATTAGTAGAAGAGTTGTAGAGGGACTAGCTTTGATGAGAGGGAAATTTGGCAAGGATATTACGGCAGATTACAAAAACAAAATTTGTAAAAAGATTACAGGGGAAGTAAATGCTATTGGGGTGAACTTCATACTGTCTTAACTGTAAGAACTAAGTTTAGAAACATGACTAGGTATACCAAGGAGAAATGTGTTAACCAAAAAAGGGAGAGGAACAGGACAGGTGGAGGACCTGCTCCAAAATCAATCAGTGTGGCTAAGGAAAACATAATCAACGCCATAAAAGACGCTTCCTCATTCAACGGCATTTGATGAAGGAATGGAGACATCTGTAGGTAGTTGTTTTAGATTTACAAATGTAATGATATTTTCATTCATTTGTAGCAAAGAATTTGTCACTTTTTAATTGCTACCATTGACAATTATGCAGAAAAATCCAAAAACTAAAGCGCGTCATTTGCTATGACACTAGGATATCCCTTTCAAAGAAAATCCAAACAGGGGTCGCCGATGTGCTATAAATAGCATTATAGTATCTGTAATAGCTGTGACAGTTCTGTTACCTTGGATTGCCACTCCAAACAGGAAATACACATTACAATGGCTTCCTTTGAATCTGCGTCATATGTGCATATGTTACATATGTAGTGGATGGAGAGTTGTCTCATTGGCTCTCATACCACATCTTCCTATATCTATATATGTTACATATGTAGATCTTTTTTCTTTAAATACGTCCTAAATAGCTTCCCATGCATCTTTTTTACAATACTTTTTATTCAAATCAATGTTTACAATTTAGTACAAACAAGAAGCAGTTAAAAGTTCAGGTTTTTTTTCATCTTGGTTCCTCGGTTATTAAAATATTGTTATAAACAGCATATTTTGCTAAATCGCTTCCAACAAACCATTCTGGTATAAGGAATCCGATTTCTTTCGAACTTTTCTTTTGAAATGGTAAACAATTGCTTCTGCGGTTACGCTTTTTTGAAAGACCAATGACAGTTTGGGTCAAACCTTTTGGCCTTACACGTTTTTTGATATTTTGTTGCAGAAATATGTGCGAAACACGCGGTCCACAAAATTTGGAATCCAGAAGTTGTTCTTCTTGCTGAGCTATATTTCGTTCTTCGTCTTGTGAAACTAGTTCTTCTCTGGAATTTTCGAATATTTGGACATTATCAGTATTATTTTCTTTATTATCTGTTACATTAAAACCATCATTGATGTATTCAACATCCTCATAAACATGCAAGCCTGTTTGATTGTTTTCGTTGCCAACTGCATGTGTACTTTCCACAGAATCAAATTCTAGAACTTCAAGAACCATACATTTTTTCCAATGACTTCAAAAATGTGTAATACACTGCATAATATCTAATCTCTTCTTATATTCATCACCTGTAGCTTCGGATGCAAGACTTGCTAGTTGTTGTAACAGTATTTGTGTTTTCCTGTATTTTGTGCTTTGAGACATTTTGCTCACTCGTGTTGGTGACAGAACAGACTGCTGACTGGGTTTCTGATATATCATCAAATAATCCATGTGATGTCCTGACTGTGTTTTAATCTTCCAAAGATCTGCTACTACTTCAGCAACAAACAAGTTTTCCTGATTAACTTCTCTTAGTTTGAGTATATGCCTACAGTGAAGAAGCATACTTTGATGAAACATACAAGAGCAACTTTTTGAATCGACTCTCGCTTGGCCTTGGTTTGTTGTAGCTGTCCTTACAATTTCTCTATCATCGTCCTCCTTCTGTTCAATTTTTACGTCAGATATTGGTGAAAACTGTTTATGTATATATGCCCAAGCATAAAGTTTCACTATCTTATGATATTTATATTCGGGAGAATCATTTGAGTACACTGTAACAGCTCTTTTTTAAATATACCTCTTGTCTTGCCTTTCTGTACGCAAGGAATGCAAGGCTTTCAGAAAGGGTTCAGTAAAATCTGGTAATGTGAATAGTAGTGATGGAGCACAGATTTTATTTTGTCATTTATGCTTTCAATCCTGTTATTTGTGCGATTCCCAGGATTAACACCATGTTTTAGCCCAGCAACCCTTTCCCGTTTGATGTGCCAATTTCTGTTGAAGTATGATATTACTGAGTTTGATGATTCTTCACACAGTTCTTTGTTAAAAATTTGATATTCATCTTCTGAATTTGAGTACACTATCTTCTGCATAATTTCTATTGCTTGAATTTTCTCACCAACTGTTATCCCAATTTTTCGATTGAAACTTCTCGTCTAAAATTCCTTAAAACATGAAACTAACACCACTGCAGCTTTGCTTGAGGTATAGCTTTCCCCAAAACATTTCTTTTAGTCGTGTCAGTTAATGTAACTCGTATATTTTCCCAGTTTTTGTTCTTTAATTTGAATAGTTCAATAACTTGTGAAAGTATAAATTCCTCATCATGTGTAAGCAAGAACAAAGCAACTATTTCACTTTGTCCATTCCCATCTATATCAATTATTAAGTGTATAGGCATTCTCAGATTAATATTCTCATAAGTAGCATCCACCAGTATTACTTCTGGGTAACTATAAAATGCATTCCTAATGTCTTGAAAAAATATGGCTTGCAACTTGTTGTCTTCAGTAACATATTCGACTACTGATTCAGAACAACTTGAGGATAGAATATCATGCATCTGTTCTAAATCCGTTTTCCCAGTTCATGCAGTTGCAGATTTCCTTTTTTTTTCTTTTCAAACATTATGTTATGAAGATCTTTTAACACTATCTTTTTCCCTGTTTTCTCCACTAAATAGCTTTTTACCATTTTTATGTTAGTTATCTTTTTTTGCATAGTTTCAACATCTTTTTTCTCTTTTTTCAGATAATTGCTGCTGTCTTTGTAAGAACTTAAATAAATTCCGGTTCAAAATATGATTATGTTCTTTACACATATTTGTTATCATCAACTTATTCCCATCACTCGTGATAACAAAGTATCATTCAAATAAAAGTCAAAGTCAATCAGAGCAGTCAATTGTAAACAATATTTAGAGACCATTTCGATATTAAATGAACTATGATAAAAATATTTTGAAACTTACCAATTGTGTCTCCGACTACTTGAAGAAAATTTCCTGAATCTAAAACCCTCAGGATTACCATTATCTGCTGGAGCACAGTAAGTGTATGGTGTCTGTTGGTTTGTCTTCTTACATTATTGCTGACAAAGTTTGACAAAAATATAATACCATTTCTGCCAAATCTGTAACTTTGTCTTAGTTCCTGATTGGCTAAATTTGACCGTTATGTAATGATATTGCTATATCATCTTATCAATCTATTTACATTTATAGAGACTCCGCCTATCTTATCTTGATTGGCAATATGAACAGATACACGTGCTTAAAATTCATTGACTTTATCTATATATAACACACTGGGGTTTTATAACATGTGCAGTTCGATATCATGTAGTCTTACAATAAACATGTATTCAACGAAAAGAAAGGAATTTTCGTCTTAAAGTGATTAACCTGTTATGTTACCATTGTTAGAGGCCAATTGAGTTAATTCCTTTCTTTTCGCTGAGGTGGATGTGGTACTTCTATGAAGGAGGCCATATTAAACAACAACTTCAACATTTATATCGACCTCTGAGATGTTGTTACAATTAACACTTTAACATTGCTTTTGTCGTTAATTTTTGTGAACAACAGCTAACAAATTTGTTAAATTTAACTACCCTTTAACGACAGCCTTTGCCTAACGACACCTTTGAACAACCGGGCCCATGTTGTTAATCCTTCTTAGTATTCAGATGGTTAATATTGCATGGATTTGTTAAATTTCAATTATTTCATTTTTTTGCAGATATATTATTTTAAGTTACATCTAAAAAGTTTAAACAATTTAACAAAAATAGTACTTACCTGCATGATTTATCCTGTAAACTAGAGTCTCTCCGAAATTCGAAGCAAAGGTCGAATCGATTACTTTAATCGGACATTGTGGTTCTCCATGCAAAATTAAACCAATGCCTTTTACACTCCCCAGTCCTACGTACACTTGAAATGAATTCCAAGATATCCAAAACGGTTTATACTCAGAGGAAGTGAGTAGTGATCCACTATATTCATCATCCGGTGGGTTAACTAATTCTCCTAAGTACAGTGCTGATAATGTATTACCCCATCCTCCAATAACAACAGAGAACTGCACGTCTTGAAATGTCAAGGTCACATCTCTTTTACCTCTAGCGTCAAACTGTAAGAAATTGACGTGCAAAAGTGATACTCCTTCTGTTGATATCAATTTTTCGCCTGGATGTGTAATTGAAAATTCTAAAGGCAAACCTACAATATCAGATCTTCAATACTTTAGTTTCAGTTATAAACAGTTACATATTAGATTAATCAATAATAATTTATATTTTTTTTCCTGATATGCAAGCTTTACTATTCATTTGGGTAGACCTAGATTAAGTGAAATAAATCTGACTTTAAATCGGTAAATCAGTTCGGATAAATCAATTTGAATAAGCGAACAATATTTGTGAAAATGGTTGACATCAACGAAGAAGTGGTTTTAGGGGAATTTTCTTTAAAACTTCCCAATAAGATTTTATTCATCAATATCCTCCGAAGTGGTTTTAGATCCTAAGGAAAATTCCAAGCTTATTATCATATAAAAGTTACTTTAACAAATAATTCCTTAAATTCTATTCGCAAAGTTTTTTACAAAGGAGAAGTTTTCCTTAAATTTCACAAGAACTAGTTATCATGTTTATGTCAGCTTGAATGAGCCTATGTATATGAACAGATCCCACCTTAGAGAAATCAATGATAATTTGCATTTTTATTCTGATATACCAACAATGTATGGAGTCCCCCTCGGTATATGGAACTATGTTTGGATCGATCCAACATTTAAACCTTGGCGCGGACGTGTTAAGTCGATACAACATCATCATCGTTACATATACCTAGGCGCGGATTTTTTGGTAGATCTTAGCATACATGGACCAGTGAGAATTCCATACAGTGAACATGCGTGATTTAAAGTCTTTACCTTGGCACGCAAATGTTGGTCGACATACACATACTTTTATTGTTGTGTATTCAATACAATGAATGGAAACAACAGCTTATACATTTCGAGCGCTTTCTGGGTTAACCTTCATCAGGAACGCTCAAACCCATACATTTGAAAGACAGGTATGTATACATTCGAAGCAACGTTAGGAGCTATATGACCATAAGGGACCTAAAAGAATAGCCAAATTCGGCTAAGGTCAACTTTAAATCTGCCTAAGGGAGTTATAATAGTAGTAATGTCCTAATATATCAACGGAGAATTTTAGAACGTGATGAAAACAGTCTTTACCTGGGCGCGGATATATTGGATCGATCCAAACATACGTGTACCGGTGTGGATTCCATACAGTGAACTAACGTGATGAGAACAGTCTCTACCTGGCCTGGGAGTGGACATGTTGAATCGATTCAATTATACGTATACCGGTGTGGGTTCCATACAGTGAACTAACGTGATGAGAACAGTCTCTACCTGGCCTGGGTGTGGACATGTTGAATCGATTGAATTATACTTAAACCATTGCCGTGACGTCAGCCTATTCATTAACCGTGTATTCTTTTTCTAGACTCAACGCTTACTAAATCTGTCGCTGAAATGGACTCACCAAATAATATTAAATTGTTTCCTTTATGTGCCTAATTTCATTAAGTTTGAATTTGATAATTTACTGATTTCTGTTCACTAATGGAATTAATTTAAAAACTTACCTTTAACTTTTGTAATTTTATATGCTTTCGTAGGAAATCGAACCCCTCCTTGAAATCTGTTATGTGTGACTGACATCAACACATCGACGAAACCTCGGCTACCAATGGGTTGCAATTTCGATGTCTATTTCATATATATAAATGAACATATGATATACATTGGTACAACGGACAGACAGGGTTAGTACCTTTATATATACATAATAGATGGGTATAGTATAAGTTGGTAGCAGCGAGGTTAAATTCGATGAGTTATAGAGTCAAGTTAGAAGTAGAGACTTGTCGGTTTAGGTTCGAATCCCTGGTTTTTCTTTGTTGTCCCTATTCTTTATATTTTCCGTTTTTCATATTTTTTATGTTATTTTGGATATTTTTGTAATAATAGCGGGGTTTCCCCGTTTATTTTTGGATTATTATTTGCCAATTCGCGTATTTGAAAGAAAAAAATGATTTTATTCAATTTGTCCATTTTTGTTTTATAAATATAGTATGACACATGTATGATGTCATCTGTTTTACTACATATCATTACAAATCGCAAATACCTATGCGAGTAAATTGTGATGTGCCTAGAATTAGGTTTCTTGCTAGAAGGTTCGGTTACATACTTATTATATATACCTAATATAAGTTCGAATATGTCTTATTTTGTAAATTACGGATAATATTCAGATGCATAATAATTTAAAGACAGACGTGTTATGCTATATTTGTATTTCTCTAACCAATTAACTGTGAACTTTGATTCATTAATGCTTCGTTGAACGGGGTTATCTAAAATCACTTACAATGCATTATAATTGAGAAAAGCTTTAATTTTGAAAAGACATCAACACAATAGTTTTGATCTGATCGTCACTGATGAGTCTTATGTAGACGAAACGCGTGTCTAAATTATAATCCTGGTACCTTTGATAACTATTTACACCACTGGGTCGATGCCGCTGCTGGTGGATGTTTCGTCCCCGAGGGTATCACCAGCCGAGTAGTCCACACTTCGGTGTTGACATGAATATCAATTATATGGTCATTTTTATAAATTTCCCGTTACAAAACTTTGAATTTTTGGGAAAACTAAGGATTTTCTTATCCCAGGAATAGATTACCTTAGCCGTATTTGGCACAACTTTTAGGAAATTTTGGTCCTCAATGCTCTTCAACTTTGTATTTGTTTGGCTTTATAACTATTTTGATCTGAGCGTCACTGATGAGTCTTATGTAGACAAAACGCGCGTCTAAATTATAATCCTGGTACATTTGATAACTATTAAGTTATAGATACAATGGATAATCGTTGATTCATGAAAAACAAACCATTCGCCCTCCGTGCTCATGTTTTTTTTTTTCAAGAATCAACGCTTATTCATTGTATCTATAATGCGTATAACAGTGTGGATTCAATAAAGTGTGTAATGTAATATGTACGCTTCACTTCTTTACCTACAGCAAACTTCAAATTCGACAATTAGGATCATGTTATTTTTCGTTTAATTATTACTTAGAAGATAAATACTGTAAGTGCTTCAGTATTTACACGATATGAAGCTTAATCAAACCATTGCGTAATACATCTATTTCATAGGATTGCAGTATTGAAAAGGTTTATACACTCATTTAGATCGTGACAGCAATCTGCAAATTCGAGTAATAGTATCATGTCGTTGTTTTCTGTGATTCACGTTTGAATATAGTTAAATATTTAAACAGTTTACACTTTCAACGAGATCGTCATTATATCTATTTGTAATAGGGGTTTAAATGTTCCTTTAACAATGTAATGAAAAACAATCTTAAAAAAGAAAGCAAATGTTATAAAAATATAATATTTTCAAGTCGAGAAACTATACAAGGCTGAAAATATCTTTAATAAAAAGTAAGCCACGAAGGTATAATTGTCTTTGTATATTATAAAATTGATTTTGCGTAAATTTTATCGTAACCCATTAAATTTTCCTCAACTTCATGGAATAAATTGACTACAGATTAATTGTGGGTGTCCGTAGGGAAGTGACATATAGTTTCCCAACGACACAAAAAAGAAAGTCATCCAAAGTAAATATACGGTCTTCAACAATATTAGACAGGTGTCTACAAAATGTGCCAATATCTATAAATAGTCCAAAGTCTAAAAAAAATTGCAGTAAATACATTCATCAGCGATTATCAAAGATCTGTCATTAACACCGAATTTCTGAAATAACATAAATTACCAGCAATTTAAATTGTATGTTATAACTGAAGGCTGAAGATGTTTTGGTAGCATTTTAACTGCAATTAGAAACCAGAATTTGTTAGAATTGTATTTAGGGACGGAAACAGGTCTTTTAGAGCGGTATTTTCATATATTCGTCAATACAAAAACACAACATGTTGCTTTCTTTCAAAAAGGAAAGCAATACGTGAACCCGAGATCGCTGACTGGTTAACAAAAAATTGTTGCTAAATTTTTTTTATGGGTTTTGATTTGAAACAATACAATACGGTAATGGTGATGTTAAAACACCTTTATTGAAAACATGAAATTGTGTGTAGATTCTTGCACAAGTCAATTGAAAGCAATATTGGATTTAAGTTGTGTATAGAAAAGTGTATATATACAGCTACAATTTGAATTTACCTTTTAAGGCTTGACTATTTTATCTATTTCTTAGTGTACATCATTTTCTTAGTCCTATTGCAAATAACAGTTTCTGCAAACCGGATTTCTAATGCAAATTGCACAAACCAATCGCAATATAAATTTAAGCACTCGGTTTGATTTATAATCTGGATGCATTTATTTTATCTATCATATCTTCATATTTTGTTTCCCGGATGTCTTCAACTATTCTCATACTCGTGATTGAAGCTGTCTGTACTGATGGTAGATGTTGTATAGATAAATCAAAAGTCCAATTTTCATGTGAAGTGAAACCCTGTGGCATGCAACTTATAAGAAGGTTTCGTTTATTTTTCTTGAGAGTATCACGCCAGCTTCATTGGAACCTGTTATCTAGTGACAATTACTTTGGTCTCATAAAACCTCTCAAATTTTAAGGATTTCCTAAAATTACTTAAATCAATCCAAATATTCTACACACTGGAAAACTTGGTTTTGAAGAATATTTTATTTTCAAAAGTTTTATTAATACCTGAACATACTCTCAGTAGAACCATTTCATATAAAAAGATATGTAGATATATAAAGATACCAGGATTAAAATGTTGTACGCCAGACGCGAGTTTAGTCTACAAAGAACTCATCAGTGATTCTCGAATAAAAAAAGTTAAAAAGGCCAAATAAAGTACGAAGATGAAAGGCATTGAGGACCCAAAATTTCGAAACAAAGGTTTTGCCGAATACATCTAAGGTAATCTATTCCTGAGGTGGAAAATCCTTAGCATTTCGAAAATGTCAAAGTTTATAATAAGACAGTCCCTCAAAAAAGAAAAAGAAAAAAGAAACAGCTAGAGGTCAGAATACCTTAAGTAATGATGACACTTCTTTAAAGTCACTTATAAAGCTCTTATTGCCGCGTCCTGAATTTAGATAAGAAAAGCTAAAATTCACA